AGCCCTGCGGGAGGGTGGTGCCTGCTGGAAGCGGAAGTCGCGGGCGCCACATCCGGGGATGGTCTGGGACTACACTTCCCAGAGTGCCCTGCACTGCGCCTCGATGACGGTTCCTGGGAGCTCGGGGAACCTGTGGAGCCTCCTTGAGGGTCTACCCAAGAGGCGGCTCTGCGATGGGCTTTCAGGAGGCCGCGTCTTTGTCGCCGAGACCATGGGCTAGTCCCACACGTGGTCTGAGCCTCAGTTTGCACATCTGTGAATGGGGGACAGTAAGAACTTAGAGTTGTAACTCTTTCGGGCCAGACTTCTGACTTACAGAACTGTAAGAGAATAGATATGTGATGAGTTGTTGCCAGGTGGAAACCTCAGGTTTCGCTTGGCACAACTCATCACAGCCAATGAACATGAGGCCGAGGTGGAGAGCAGAAATGTGCCTTTATTTCGTTGTGCAAGGAAAGGAACAGTCAGGCTGCTGCCTCCAAGACTGCTTAGTGAGGGCAAGAGGGAAGGTTACCGTTGTGGGGTTTACAAGCAAGAAGTTCATACAAGTTACATCAGCAACATTCTTAATCATTCTTAACCGTACTACTCAGGCCCAGTGTTCAGAAAATGGTGTTTAAACTCCACCCAGAAGCAGGGAAGTTACTATGTATGAGACACTTAATGAGCTAAAAGGTTATCCAGAATGTCAACATGATGCCTAAAGCGGTTTCTGCCAGTTTCTGGGCGGCAGTTAAGGAAAGGGGAGTCAGCATGTTAATATAAAGCTACGGGCCTGCCAAGCAAGCTGCTTGAGACCTTTGTCTTAAAGTCACAAGTTTGTGCTAATTTGTTACAGCGGCCATAGGAAACTAATACACGTGGTATGGCTGTCCCATGATTCATTTTCCAGCTCACACCTGGTGGACAGTTAGGCTGTTTCCCTGTCCTTTTACACTGGATACTGTCGAATTTCTAAGAGTGGAAACAAAGTTAAAGTAAGTAATGCTATAGATTCGTGAATTAGGCAACACATTGCATAAAACTGAGTGTTCCAAAGAAATGGGGCAGTTTGGGGTTTTTATAGTCCTAGGAACAAAGAAAGGGAAGTCCACGAAGTTTTGATCAGTCTTTCAGATATTCATCAAAATGTCCCTTGAAGTCTTTTTTCTTTAGAAATGTCAGTTAGTATTACTAAGAAGATAGATGATGCAGGCCTCCAGGGGGTCAGTGCCTGCCAACACAGGTTTCCAGATGACAGGGGCATCTGACCTCCTCTAACTTCACAAGGGGGAAGGAGAATCAAGATCAACGGCCCAAAGCTGATTCCTATGAGGCTGAGGTCAGACGTGCCTCCACCCTCCAACCTTTTTACCAATTCTGACACTAACCATCCCTCCCAAGGCACTCTCTAATTCTCTGCTGGGTTTGATAATTTGTTGCAATGGCCACACAGAACTCAGAGACAAGATTTATGATTATGAGGTTTATTAGGGAAGTAATGGGTTACAATTAAGGTTCAGGAATGCTCAGGATACAGTTCTTTGATCAGGACAGCCTCTTCTCAGCCAGGCCCACTGGCACACCTCTCTCTCTGGCCCCTCAGCCTCTGCCTTGCTCTGGCAAGTATTTCAAAGCTCTTTTAGCTCCACCAATAAGTGCCCAGAGGCACCCCAGTCCACCAGTAAGCCTCAGCCCAAAGGCACTCAGCTTTCTCACTCCATGGGCCTCCCTGCACCATCTCTTGGCTGGTCTCCTGGCTCAGCTCCCTCTGCTGCAGCTGTTTCTCTGCTGCTGCTTCTCACCATCTCTTACTGTCTTTGGTGTTATAGCTCTCTCTCTCTCTATCTCGTGGGTCTAGGAGGTTCTCAGAGCAGGAATCCCAGGTCCAAAAGATAAGCTCTGCTCCTGTCTCTTCTTGGTGGTAATCAAGTCCCCTCTTCCTGCCTCTGGGATGGCTAATTTTAAGCCTAACAGGATGGCAAACTGACTAGTCCCCTCCTTAGGGTTCCATACACCTTATTTGCGTGGTCCCACAAGAGTGCGATGCATCTTATTTACATTATTAGCAAGCTATCCTATCTCTTTGGTGGGCCACAATCACTTCATTTGCATAGCCCCACCCAGTCATTTGGTGGGAGTTACAAAAACTATGGCTAGAAGGGCCATATTAAGTAATTCACTGCACCACAGTCTGGAATGTAGGGGCTAAAGACACAGGATGTTGGTTACACGTAAATCTAAAGAAACAAGCTAGTTATTACCTCTAAAGGTTAGGTTATTTATTATCTTAAACTTTTGCACTCTGAAACCAGGCATTGGCCATGTTTTTAGTTTCCACAATACCAATGTAGAGACACCCTCTGCACGTGTGTGCATCTGTCCCAGTCAGTGGTTCTTCACTGGGGGCGACTGTACACCCAAGGGAACACTTGGCAATGTCTGGAGACATTTTTGATTGTCACAATTGGGGAGGGAATGCTATTGGCATCTAGTGGGTAGAAGACAGGGATGCTGCTAAATATCCTGCAATGCACACAATAGCTCCCCACAACAGAGAATTATCTGGCCCAAAATGTCAAGAGCTTGGAGGTTGAGAAACCCTGGTTTATCTTCACAATAAATTCCTAGAAATGCAACTGCTGTGCCAAAGGGCGTATGCTTTTGAAACTTTGTAGATGTTCCCATATTGCCTAGGGCTAATCTTAACCTCGGAATCTGGTGTGAGTAGGACAGTGTCTCAGCAAGCCAGCTGAGATGTTGGCTGTGGGTTCCCATGGGCCCTCAGGGCTCTCCAAGCCTGGAGTCAACCTGGGGTGGGGCTGGAGGGGCAGATTTGTGGATCTCACCCATAAATAGCTATGGGGCAGGCACTGGAGGATTCACTCATTTCACACTGGAAGCAGGGATGGCTCATCAGACATCTATGCTGTCACAGAGCTCCCAGTCTAATGGGAGAGACTGACCGGGAACCAAACCATATGATCATAGTATGAGACAGGGAAGGGAAAAAGGGACTGAGCCCCTAGGCAAACAACCCTGAACTAAAAACATGTGCTTAACTAATGACACAAAACCCATATCTTGGAACATGCAATAAAGAAAGAACAAACAACCCACCCAGCTCTCAGTGTTCTTCCTTGATAAGATGCTTTTCAGAAGAACTGCCCGATCTGATCCCTGGAGCATGCGCAGACATCCGCAAGGCGACCGACAGACCAGTGACAGGAATCCAGCCAGCACCATGGTGGGACTGCGCAGGCACAGCACCCCATAAAAAGTCCTGCTATCCAGTCCCAGGAGCCTTTGTTATGGGTTCCATCTTGGGCTGTCTCCTGCACACACACCTAATCTTTATAACCCTGCTTCTTTCATGAATAAAGATGATGCCTTTTCCCACCTAAAAACCTTTATAAGCCCTGGCCAAACCTTTGTTTGGGGAGACAAAGGCTAGCGTTGTATTGTCCGTCTTTGTCTCTGATCACAAGGTACTTTTACTCAGTAAAGGTTTGTTTGTGCAGAAAACTTGAGCCTCTCCTGGTCATTCTTGGTCAGTAGAAGGCGAGAACCTCATAGGGGCTGCCCAGGTTGGCCAGAAGACCAGGCAACATGTACACAAGGGAGCAGTTCCCGCATTGACCTGGAGAAGTCAAGGAGCACTTTGTGGAGGAGGTGACTTTTAGCTGGGATAATAATACTACTCACCTAGCTCATTTCCTGAAGGCTCACTATGTGCTTACTCCCATAACTTGGGTGTATCCCCAGGTCCCTAGATTTTACGGATCACCCTTTGTCTTAGCTATTGAGTGCCGCTGTAACAGAAATACCGTAAGTGGATGGCTTTGACAAACAGAAATTTTCTCACAGTTTAGGAGGCTAGAAGTCCGAATTCAGGGTGCCGAGCTCTAGAGGAAGGCCTTCTCTCTCTGTTGGCTCTGGGGGAAAGTCCTTGTCTCTTCTGAGCTTCTGCTCCTGAGCGACCTTCATGTGGCATCGCATCTCCCTTACCCCATCTCTGCTTTCTTGCTTGTCCTAATCTGCTCATTTTTTTGTCTCATAAGAGATTGATTCAAGACGCACCCTACACTAATCCTGCCTCATTAACATGACAGACAACCCATTCCCAGATGGGATAACTACTGGCATAGAGGTTAGGATTTACAGCACGTTTTTTGGGGGGACACAATTCAATCCATAACACTTTTCCTTTTGCGACCAAACTAACTTACTGTTGGCTCCACCGTGTGGGATTACATGAAGTCCCTTTACTTTAGAGGGTTCTGTGGGGTCCTGGGAGAGGGCTCACGTCCTCCCTCCCTGGACTGATGCCACACCCCGTTCTCTTCCTATGTCGTGGTAGGCACGGTCCGTGAATAATTCTGCTTTATCCACGCAACAGTGCTCTGAGAGTGGTAATGTCGCCCCCGTTTCATAGATGGGAAACCTGAGGCACAGAAAGAATAAGTGACTTGCCTAGGGTCACACCGCTTGTCAGTGGCAGAGCCAGGATGTTTAAAGCAGCTTTGCCAGACTCCAAAGTTGGACCTGCTTTCTCGCCATGCTATGTTGCCAGGGCAGGGGAAAGAGGAAGGTGGCAGGTGGTGGGGAAGGGTTTGATACCCAAATGGGGAGCAACCAAAGACGGGGAGTTTTTAAGCGTTGATCCTGTGGGCCTAGCGCTGTGCCGGGTGGGAGGGGTTGGGATGGATGAGAGTTTGGCACTCAGAGTGTGGTTGGTTAACTTGAATCTGGTCTGGGGCAGAGGAGGGCTGGTTGTCCAAGGGTCTCCCTCCCAGGTCTTCAAGATCCCGAGGGCCTTGGGTCCCATACTATTACTACAAAAGAACCATACTCTTATTTGAGAAAAGCTCAAAGAAGCCATTTATAAAACGCCTTTGGTTTTCAAAGCATAGCTTTTCATAAAAAGCAATGTCCACCTTTAATAGATGCTCTAGTACACAGGTATACACAGGTACGCTACTGGATTTGGGGAGCTCAGCAGGCCCAGAATCCACCGGGGCTCAGAATTCCTCCTCTGAGTCTTCCTGGACACACCCGGGGACCTTGGAGGCCTTGGGGATGACCTGGGAGCCGGGGGGCACAGGGGCCAGGTTCACCCAGCCCGGCCCGCGGGGCAGCACGTGGCTCTCGTTGAGTCGGAAGATGCGGTAGTTCTCGTAGTGCACATTGTGAGTGATGTCCTTCAGGTCTTGCAGGTGGGAGCTGGGAGGCAGCAGGCAGGTCAGCCGCAGCCCGGGCGTCCCCCGGAGTCCCCGCTAGCCCCCCAGCCCCAGCGCTGCCCACATTCTCACCGGATAAGCAGGTCTCTCAGGAGTGGAAACTCACAGTGCGCCATGTTCTCCACTGCAAGACACGGGTCATTGAGCGCCTACTGTATGCTGCAGCACCACCTGATACGCACCACAGCCCTTCCCTCACGTCTGACTTCCTATTTGTTCATTCATTCAGTCATTCATCCATTCACTCACTGTCACGTCCCCGGCGCCTGGCCCAGGCAGCTCTTACAAACAGTGGGTGAATCGACGAGTCCAACCAACACTTATTCTTATACTTTAACAATTATAAATTATACGGCCCCAGAGGAGCCTTCCCTGGCTCCCTAAGGTGGTCCCCCTGTTATGAATTGAATTGTGTTCCCCTTAAAAAGTGTGTTGTAAATCCTAATCCCTATACCTGCGCCCTGGTGGCACAGCAGTTAAGCACTCAGCTGCCAACTGAAAGATCGGCGGTTCGAACTCACCGGCTGCTCCTCAGGAAAACGATGTGGCAGTCGGTTTCCGTAAAGGATTACAGCCTTGGAAACCCTATGGGGCAGTTCTACTCTGTCCTATAGGGTGGCTATGTGACTGAATAGATGGTTTATGGGTTTATACCCGTGGTTATAATCCCATTTGGGAATGGGTTTCTTTGTTACATTAATAAGGCAGTATTAGTGTAGGGCATGTCTTGAATCGATCTCTTTTGAAATATAAAGAAGCAGATTAAGCCAACAAACAAGCAGAGACGGGAGAAGATAGATGCCACTCCACAGGACGGTCACCAAGAAGCCAAGGAACAGAAGCTGAAGAGACAAAGAGCTTCCCCCAGAGCCCAGAGCCAACAGAGAGGGAGAGCCTTCCCCTAGAGCTGGCGCCCAGAATTCGATCTTTTAGCCTCCTAAACTGTGAGAAAATAAACTTCTGTTTGTTAAAGCCACCCACATGTGGTGTTTCTGTTACAGCAGCGCTAGGGAACTAAGAAAGCCTGCCTCCCATCCCCCATCATTGCCTCCCCTTTTGGGTTGTTGACGGTCTCCCTGCTCCCACCTGAATGGAACCTCTACGGGGACGGGGACCTGGTCTGTCTTGCTTTCACTACATCCCTGTAAACAGCACATAGCAGGCCCACAATAAATTCTGTTGAGTGAACAGAGCCTTCTGGGAGCTGGGCATCATGCAAGGTGGTGGCGAGTCCTCCTTCCTCTGCACCCCGTCTCCCCCAGCCCATGAGGTTGACGCTGTGACAACATCCTAAGAAGACTGAAGGGCTGGAGAGTCAGGTGACTTGCCCACAGCCCCACAGCTGGGAGGAGGGACTTGATCCCGGGTCTGTCTGTCTCCTATCTGTGTGCTCACCCACGCCAGGTCCTGTGGGAAGGGTTTACAGCCCGTTCTCACCTGCATCAACCCCAAACCTCCGCTGCCCCTCACTGACCTTCAATGACGCCCCACTTGGTCTTCCGGCCCAGGACACACCTCCCATTCACCAGGTGTTCTCGGTCAGCCCCGACCACAGCAAAGGGAATCCGGTCCTGCAGGGGCAGGAAGACACAGCAGGGCAGGCCATGTTGGGGAGGTGGGAGAGAAGGCACCCAGGCAGGAAAGGGGGAGAGAAAGCAGTAGGAGGAGCACAAAATATCTAACAAGTCAAAAGACACAAGTTCTAATCTGTGCCTCCATTTCCTCATCTGTAAAATGGGGATAATAACAGTACCAGGGCAGGGCATTGTGAATATCCGTGAAGTGCTTAGCCTAGTTAAGGATTAGCAGAGTAGCTTTTGGAAACTGATGTTATTAGTAACCGCATAAATAATATAATCTTGCTAACCTCAAGTCTCTTACCTGTGAAATAGAGACAATAATCCTCTTCAATGCTTATCATAAAGGTTAAAAGAGAGAACTTTATAAACCAGGGAGGGGTTGGCAACCTACAGCCTACGGGCAAAATCCAGCCCACCGCCATCTTTGTAAATAAAGTTGTTTTTTTAATTGTTGTTGAAAACATACACAGCTGAACATACACCAATTCAACAACTCCTTCATGTACAATTCAGTGACTTTGATTACATCGTTCAGGTTGTGCAGCCATTCTCACCCTCCTCTTCCGAACTGTTCCCTCCCCATTGACATAAACTCCCTGCCCTCGAAGCTTCCTATCAGAACTTTCAAGTTGCTGCCAGTCAGTTGGATCCCGTATAGATAGTGCTTTAAAAGAGCATAATGCTCAAGGCAGACATTCTTCATTAATTAAGCTAAACTGCGGTTTGGTTTGAAGATTTCGGGGAATATTTGTTTGGTTTAAGATCCTACAATATGTAGCCGTTCGTATCTGTTTTCTTCATTTAGCATAATGTTTTCCAGGTTCACCCACCTTGTAGCAGGTATCAGAACATCATGTCTTTTTATGGCTGAATCATACTGAATTGTATGGATAGACCACGTTTTGTTCATCCATCAATGGTTGGGTTTTTGGGTTGTTTCCACTTTTTGTTTACTATGAAAAATGCTACCACAAACACCAATTTTTAAGATTTTGTGTGGACATACGTTTTCATTTCTCTTGGGTCTGTATCTAGGAGTGGAATTGCTGGGTCCATAGAATACGGTAACTCTATGTGTAACGTTTTGATGAACTGCCAAACCGTTTTCTGAAGTGACTGCACCATTTTACATCCCACCAGCAGTGTGTGAGGCTTCCAGCTTCTCCACACCCTTGCCAACACCATTCTAGTGGGCGCAAAGTGGTCTTTCCCTGTGGTTTTGATATGCATCTCCCTAATGGCTAATGGTGTTGAGCATCCTTTCATGTGCTTATTGGCCTTTCAAGGAGCCCTGGTTATGCAAAGGTGAAGCTCTTGGCTGCTACCTAGAAGACTGGCAGTCGAACCTACCCGGCTGCTCCGTGGGAGAAAGACCTGGCGATCTGCTTCTGTAAAGATTACAGCCAAGAAAACCCTATGGGGCAGTTCTACTCTGTCACGTGGGGTTACTGTGAGTCGGAACCCACTCGTTATCACCCAACAACAACATTAACCTGTTGCCATCGAGTCGATTCCAGCTCACAGCAACCCTACAGGACAGAGTAGAACTGCCCCAAGGGGTTTCCAAGGAGCCGCCGGTGGATTTGAACTGCTGACCTTTTGCTTAGCAGCCAAATGCTTAACCACGGTGCCACGACAACACTGGACATTCATATATCTTCTTCGGAGAAATGTCTATTCAAATTCTTTGCCCATTTTTAAACTAGGTTAGTTGTCTTTTTATTGTTGAGTTGTAAGAGGTTCTTTATATATTCTGGATACAAGCCCCTTATCAGATGTAGGATGGGCAGGCATTTTCTCCCATTTCGTGGGCCGTGAACTATTTCTTACTTCCCTGGAGTTTGGGGACGGAGACTCAGACCTACAAGAAATATGTGAACGTTTCCCGGAGTCGTAGCGTGAGATGCCTCTTCAGATGGAAAGGGTGAGTCAGAAGAAAATCACCCAAAACCGCCTCTCGCACCTCCCCCCGCCCCCACGGCCCCTACCCGAATCCTGCTGTTAAGGATCTGGTCATTGATGTCCTCATCGAAGCACTTCTGGGGGTACACGTCGATGCACTGGGTCCTCAGGTTGTGCTGGATCTGGGGACCACACACAGGTGACCTCGGCCCACCCTGTCCACTGTGCCCCACCCCACCCCAGCCCCACCCTCGTGCGCCCAGCTCACCCTGCGCCTGAAGGCCTCTCGCTCCTCTATGGTCAGGCTGTCGGCCCGGGCAATCACGGGCACCACGTTCACCGCCCGGCACAGCCGCTGCAGGAACTCGATGTCCAGGGGCCGCAGGCTGTCCGCGTATGGTGGTGGCAGTGGCGGCGGTGACGAGGATAGGAGTGAGGGGTGATGTCGGCCCACCCACAGCCTACATCAGCGGCCCCTCCCCCTCCTCTTGGCCCCTGCAGGTGCCCAGAGCCCCGCCTGTGTCCCCCCACTGCACCCGGCCCCACCACCTCACCAGTGCCCAGTGGGAGGCACGAAGTACACGCAGCAGTGCACCCGGGTGTCGGGGATGTGGCGCTGGCGGGTGATAAGGATCTCTTCCTGCAGATACCGCTCATACTGTTCATTGATGTAGCCCAGGATGGGGTCCCAGCTGGGGCGGCGAGACGGACCCTCCCCTCAGAACCACGGCTGAGGCCCCAGCCTGCCTCCCCTGCTGTCATACACATCCGACCCTTCTACCCTGTGGGTGACCAGTCCTCTGGGTGTGCCTGGGACTGAGGAGTTTCCCGGGATGCAGGACTTTAATCAGCTGCCAGCGAGCCGATTCCGACTCATGGTGACCCCAAGTGCATCAGAGGAGAACTATACTCCAGAGGGTTTGCAATGGCTGTTTGTTTTTGGAAGTCAATTGCCAGCCCTTTCTTTTCTTTCTTCTTCTTTTTTTTTTTAGGTTTTCAAAGTTCATTTTGTATTACAAGGATGGAAAAGTTCCCAATACATTCTTTGAAAAAACACTACACAGACTCTCCCATGCAAGCACATAAATTCAACAGTTTTCCAGCTACTTCATGGGTAACAAGGATGCTGAAGTGCCCAAAGCATTCTATGAACAGATCTTTGTTTTAAATTGACCCTGAGTAGATTTGAACGAGGGACAAATTACCCAGTAAGCAAGGTAAACACGTGCCTAAGGCATCAACAAAACAGGGGTATCAGCTGTCCAAAACAAAGACCCTTAGATGCCAAGCAGACAGGACACAAGGAAAAGCGAGCGCCGCAGTGGAAGACTCGATTCATTATCCTTATTATGTATGGAGGTAGATATTGTTCTGCAGGTTAACTGTGATGAAACCGTTTAAGAATTTGTAAGCACAAAGAATAGAAAGAAATGTTTTTAACTATAACATATTAGAGATGAAAGATCTATCTAAAAATAAAATATAGTAATGTGTTGCAATTTTTTGATGTTAAATTTTCTTTTATGAAATCTTTTCACTTGATCATTTATAATTATAGCATTTATTACACAACAAGCTTCAAAACTGAAGTATGAGCCGTTTAAAGCAAAATTGGTGGAAGTCATTTGTTCGTTGTGGGAGATCAACAGAATTTTACATTAATTGTTGAAACAACTAAGTTCACTGACTTCTTTTCCTTGTTGTAGAATAGGTGGGATATTCTTTTTGTAGAAAATGTAGTAATAGTAAAAATCTTAGTACTCCGCATCCACTAAAAACTTTATAATCTAGTTCATCTCATTCTGCTAAAATGGATTATGCCACTTTTGTATTCAATTGCTGGTATTATAGTCACATTTAAAAAGAAGTTACTTCATGGATAGCTAACCCACACACACACACCCCATACATATACACGTATACAGATCACTCACATATCTCGTTCAAATGCGTGAGTAAACAGAGAAGGGGGCACCACAGATCATCAGAGTTTAGGGCCCTCACATGCCTTAATCCGGCCCTGACTCGAACCTCCAACCTTTAGGTTAACAGCCACGCGAGTTCACCGTTTGCACCACCCAGGGACTCCAGAGAACTTAGTTCTGGGCAAAGTGACAGGGCTGGTCAGTCAGCCTGTTACCTTCCCCAACCTGCATCGCCAGAGAGACACAGGAGGCTCCCTGCCATTCTCAAGCTGAGGCCTCAACTTCCTTGTCTGTAAAATGGATACGGTAACAGCACCTACTTCACAGGGGAGTGGTGAGCATTAAACAAGGTAAACGGCCACATCTGCCGTCAGACCACCACTGACGCTCACCTGGATTGTTGCAAGAGTGCCCCAACTCCTCCCCCCATGTCCCCTGCCCCTCCGTCTATTGTGACCACAGTGGCCCAAAGGATACTTTTAAAAACAGAACTCAGATCATGTCCCTTTTCTGCTCAACCTCCAGTTGCTGAGAAAAAGGCAAAGTCCTATGTTGGCCTGCAAAGCCCTACACCACCCGACCACATTTCTTCCTGGCCCATCTCCCCCTCTGCACCTCCTTGTTCATGCCCTCCAACCTCCTCACTGTTCCTTGAACACACTGGGCCTGTCCTACCACAGGGCCTTTGCACTTGCTGTTTCTCTCCCTGGAGTGCTCTGCCCCCAAATATCCACATGGCTCATTCATCACCTCCAAGTCTTGGCCCAGATAGCTCCTCCTCAGTGAGGTCTTTCTTTTTTACGTTTGTTTTTATTCACACTCTATTATTGCAGAAAATTTGCATATTACAGCAATGTTGCCTCTATGTTGCTAAGAGAAAAATGCATTTTTTTCCTGCTATGTACTGATTGTTTTGGGGTGGGGTGGTGAAAATACACACAGCTAAACATACACCATCTCAATAATTTCTACATGTATAATTCAGTGACATTGACCACATTCTTCAAGTTGTGCAACCATTCTCTCTGTCCTTTTCCAAATTATTCCACCACTATTAGCATAAACTCTCAGGGAGGTCTCTCTTTATCACCTACTGGTGGTACAGTGGTTAAGCACTCGGCTGCAAACCAGAAGCTTGGCAGTTCAAATCCATCAGCCACTCCATGGGAGAAAGACATGGCAGTCTGCTTCCGTAAAGATTTACAGCCCTGGAAACCCTATGGGGCAGTTCCACTCTGTCCTACACGGTTGCTGTAAGTCAGAATAGGCTTGATGGCATGGGTACAGCTTTCTGCAGCCTCTTGCCTGCCTTCTTTCTCCCCATTAGTATTTTGCATCTTCTGATAGGCTGTGCTCAGAGGTGACCACACTTCACAGTTTGCCTGGGACAATCCTGGCTTCCCCCCGTTACGCCAGTATAACTAATGACAATGCCCACTTAACTCTCAAAAATGTCCCGTTTGGATGATAGATTTTGGGTTCACTCTCTGTATAACTGATTTATTTTGTTCATCGTCTGTTCCCCCCCACCCCCCCACGACCATGGGAGTTCCACGCAGGCAAGGATGTTGATCTGTTTGATGATGATTGCTGTATTCCCTGTTCCTAAACCAGAGCTTGGCACATAGTAGGTGCTCAGTAAAGCATTGTGCACAGGGCTGGCTTCACGGGCTTGTGAACTGTGCAGTCAAACACAGCCCATGCTTAGAAGGGCCCACACTTGGTTTAATGCTCTGCTGTCATCATCTTAAAATTCTTAATTTTTTAACAAGGGGACCTGCATTTTCACTGTCCTCAGCCCCACAAACCCGCAGCCAGCACTGACCGTGTGTGTGTCTGTGTGTGTGCTCTCAGCCATGTCAGAGGCTCTCCTTGACTCCCTAGAACAACCCTCTAAGGTAGTGTCATCATCCCCAAGTTACAGTGACGGAAACCAAGGTTCAGAGATCCTATGTGACCTTTCCCAGCTTAAGCAGCTAGAAAGTGGCCCACCCCAGGGGTCCTGACTCTGGAATGTGGGATCCTAACAATCTGTTATACTGTGACCTTTACTGAGTGCTTACTGTGTGCCAGGCAGCAAGCTAAGACCTTCACATACTCAACTTCCTTCAATCATTGAGGTAGAGTTGAGTGCACCCATTATACAGACAAGGAAACTGAGGCTCAAAGATGCTGCAGCTAGGTAGCTTCAGAGCTGGGATGTTTCCCAGAGGCTGGGGGGTGGGGAGGGGAGTGGGCAAAGGGTAGAGGCAGCAGGGGCCCAGCCCCCAGGGGACCCACCATTTGTCATTATTGATCTGGTCCCCGAAGCCTGGTGTGTCGGTCACTGTCAGCTTCAGCTTCACGCCCTTCTCCTCGATGACTGTGGAGGGAGAGCGGAGGGGAAGGAGATTGGACATGGGTGGGGTGGGATGGGGTGGGGGTGAGGGCTCACTCACCGTGGGTCACCGACTGCAGCTTCAGCGTCTGGGGCGTAGGCCCCCCCAAGCCCGGTGGTGTTGACTTCCACACCTTGGACTTGAAGAGTGTGTTCACCATTGTGGACTTGCCCAGCCCGCTCTGCCCTGGGAGTAACCGTGATGGAAGCAAGAATGGTGGATGTTGTAGGCATTGTTTCTCAAACTCTTGACTGCAATTGTGTAAAACTTAACTGTTTTCAAAGTATAACCTAAATACAGGAAAGTGCATGCCATCCTAACTGTCCAGCTATATGCATTTTTACAAACTAAACACACCCTTGGAAGCAGCACCAGGTCAAGAAGCAGAACATTACAGCACCTCACAAGCTCCCTCCTGCCCCCTTTCTGTAACTACACATCAGACCTTCCATCAGCATCCAGCCTTTGCCCTTGACATCCGCGAAACCACACAGCACGTGCTGTTGGCTGATTTTGTCTTTTAACAACTCTGCGGTGTTTCCCAGATTTTCACCTACAACACCCTGTGAAGTGCTATTATCAGGCCCACTTAACAGATGGAGAGACCAAGGCTCTGAGAGGTGCAGCGAAACACCCAGGCTGATGGGGGTGTGTCTGCTGACCTGTCCCGTGAGCCCCACCCCGCACTCACCCACCACCATGATGTTGAACTCAAATCCCATCTTCATGGCCTTGATCTTCAGCTGGTCCAGCACGGACTCAATGCCCACATAACCAAGCAACTCACAGGGTGGGGTCCTGGGGCTGGGGGGCCGTGACAAGCAGGGGGACGGGGACCGTCTGGTGGGGTCCATGGGGCCAAGGGCACGATGATGCCTGTCCTCAGAGTAGGGCGGGGAGAAGGGCCATGTGGCTGGGGCTCCAGAAGAGGAAGTGCCCTGAGTTCTAGCTTCTGCGGCCTGACCCCCCAGCACCCTTCAGCCTCTTAGTCTGCCCCCAAGTCCTCTGACCTGAGGGGTTTGGTGAGCAGTACCTACAGGGAGTTGCTTCTTCCGGAAGACTGAGCCCCCACCCTGAGATGCACCAACCCCAGGGATCTGCCCTCCCCCCAGCTTCCACTCATGCCCCTACCCCCAGCCAGGGCAGGGGTTCTCAGGTCAGGCTGACTCCCTGCTTCATCACTTCCCCCAGAGGGGGCCTGCCGGGCCTGGGGTGGGCTTGGGGCTAGGCTGGAGTCCTGGAGGAGGCCACGGACCCGGGGGACGTGGGGAGGCAGCTCATGTTTCAGCAGGCCACTTGGGGAGGGGGCTCAGGAAGAGGCGCTCCCTGCTCAGGGGCCTCCACTCTGCCCATGGGACACATGACAGAGATGACAGAAATTGGGGAGCGAGAGAGACTCCAGGAGAACAAAAGGGACAGAGACACAGAGAGAGAAAGAGAGAGGCCAGGAACAGGCGCCAAGAGGCGGAGGAGACGGCCTCCCAGGGAGGCAGGGCAGAGTGCTCGCAGACAGACAAATAGACAGACAGACGAAGGACAGCAAGGAGCGGCAGTCTCTGAGTGTACCTGGCAGCCCAGGTCCCTTGGGAGCTATCAGGAGCTACTCCTGTCTGGGCAGGCCTGCTGTGTGTCCAGGGGGACGGCAGAGGGTGACAGTTAACTGAAGAATCTGAGCTCCATCCCCCTTCCTGTGACCCCCACCTGGGGGCTCATGTGCAGCAGGTGGAGTGAGGGCAGGAAGAGGTAAGATGACCCCCAGGCCCTTGGGACACTGCCCCTGTAACCCTCACAACCATGCTATCCCAGGTGATGCGATGACCCCCATTTACAGACGAGGACCCCAAGGCTCCCAGGGCAGCTCCCTTGCCCAAGGTCCCAGGACAGAGCTGGGCTTCTGACATCTGAGTCCATGCCTCTTAGCCACTCTGCCGGGGCAGCAAACCCGCCACCCGCGGCCCGAAAGTGGAACGTGGTGTGTTTTCTTTGACCATGTTGGCGTCAGAGTGTTTAAAATGACAGCACTGAGAAATGAGGGGACTGATTTAGCAAATATTTACCCAACACACGGCATTGTTCCGGAAGCCGCTGGGTACTAAGTTCCTTAGTACTCATCATGACCCGATGAAGGAAGTGCTGTCACCACCCCAGTTTACAGATAAGAGGGAGGGGGAGAGATGCGCTCAGGGTCACACGGTCAGGAAGTGGCAGAGCTGGGATTCAAGCCCAGGCACTCTGGGTCCCGAGTCATGCGCTCACCCTTTACTGCCATCTTTCTTGTTCACATAAAAATCTAGATTTCCAATGTATCTTAAAATCAAACCAAACCCACTGCTGTCGAATGGATTCTGACCCTATAGAACAGAGTAGAACTGCCCCATACAGTTTCTAAGGTTGTAAATCTTTATGGAAGCAGACTGCCACATCTTTCTCCTGTGGAGTGGCTGCTGGGTTCAAACCACTGACCTTTTGGTTAGCAGCCTAGGGCTTTAACCACTGTGTCGCCAAGGTTCCTCCCAATGCATCTTAAAGATCGTAAACACTGGCAACTCTAGCACACTCCCGTGGCTAGCCTGCACTGACGCCTACAGATGGGCGATGTGCTTTCCAGCTTGCCATAGTCCTCACCCGTCCCTACTGTCTCTCCAACCTTTCGTTGTTGTTGTTAGGTGCCATGGAGTTGGTTCCGACTCATAGTGACCCCACGTACAACAGAACAAAACGTTGCCTGGTCTCGCAATATTCTCACAGTCATTGCTGTTTGAGCCCGCTGTTGTAGCCACTGTGTCAATCTTATTACGGGCCTTCTTTTTCGCTGCCCCTCTACTTTACCAAGCATGATGGCCTTCTCCAGGGACTGGTCCCTCCTGTTAACACGTCCAAAGTACATGAGATGAATTCTTGCCATCCTCGCTTCTAAAGTAGCATTCTGGCTGTACTTCTTCCAAAACAGATTTGTTTGTTCTCCTGGCAGTCCATGACATAGTCAACATTCTTCACCAACACCGTAATTCAACCCTAAGACATTTCCTATACCAAGCCCAGCTCACTCAATTGTTTCCTATTCACCTGTTTCCTGGCACCTGAGTTTGCAAGCCCTAAGCATTCCTCTGCCCCAGGGGTCAGCAAGCACTTTTTTGTAAAGGGCTTGTTGTTGATATTAGTCACAGGGAGTCGGCTCCGACTCATGGCAAACTTTTACGTATCAGAAAGAAAGTTGCCTGGTCCCGAGCCATCTGCATGATGGTTGGTATGTTTGAGTCTATCATTGCAGCTACTGTGTAGTGCCTTCCTAGGGTAGGGGGCTCATCTTGCAGCACTGTATCAGACAACATTCTGCTGTGATCCAGAGTTTTCATTGGCTGATGCTCAAAAGTAGATCGCCAGGCCTTTCTTCCTAGTCTGCCTTAGTCTGGAAGCTCTGTTGAAACCTGTCCACCACGGGTGACTCCCCTGGTATCTGAAATACTGGTGGCAGAGCCTCCAGCATCATAGCAACACGCAAGCCACTCTAGTATGACAATCTGATAGACAGGTGGTGGAAAGGGTTAGATGGTGCAGGACCGGGCATGTTTTGTTCTGTTGTACAAAGGGTCGCGATGAGTCGGAACCGACTCAACGACGCGTAACAACACAACTCCACAGCTCCTGAGGGCAAGGTCGGCCTCCTAAAGGCAAAGGAGATGTTATTAAGACGGAACAGTTCCAGTGACATACAGACTGGCCTTGAACCGAAGGAGATTCCACCACTGGGAATGTCCCCGAAGGAAATAAACCTCTTCGCAGAGAAGAAACTCTCTCCGGGAAAACCATCCCAGGTGAGTGACGTATGATTCTGAAAACTCGGGGGGAGATGGCATCAGTGGGCGCTGACAGGGTCGCATGATGTCAGTGGGTGCAAAGGACAGGCTCCTAAGTGCTCTTGACACTCAAGTGTGCAGAAAGCACGCGTAACTGGGCTGTGTTGTTGGGGAAACAGGGTAAGGTGATCTGAGCCATGTGACGACAGCAGGTCAGCTGAAATGCATACACAGAACAAAAGACCGGGCAACCGCACCTGTGAGTTGTATAATGGTAATACAGGGCCATTTATTACTGCGTGGTACGCATTGTGCTAAGAAAGCTTTTACGTTGATTATTTCATTTAATTCTCACGACAACCCTAGAAGTGGGTACTCTGAATATACCCACTTTACAGATGCGGAAACTGAGACAGAAAGGGGCCAGGAATGTGCCCAAGGTCACACACAGGTGGGTGTGAAGGGCGGACCCACCCTAGCCACTCCCCACCACTGTCTCCTGTTATTGCTCTGCCTGGGTCTGGGTGGGGGTAACAGGGGTTATAGGCAAGGAAACAGAGTCTCCCCTGGAGCCTCCAGAAGGAATGCAGCCCTGCTGACCCATTTTCGACTTCTGACCCCCAGGACTATAAAATAATAATCTGTGCTGTTTTAAGCCACTAAGGTGGTGGTAATACGTAACAGCAGCAATCGGAAACTAATACTACAGTAGGTGTGTGATTTGTGTTAGCTGCTTAACTTCTCAAGACCTCAGTTTTCACATCTGTAAGATGGGAATAGCAATAATACCCACATTAGGATTGCCATGAGGAAAAAATTAGATAATGTATGTACGGTGGTAGGCACAGAGTCTAACATTAAAACCCACTGCCGTCGAGTCAATTCTGACTCACAGGGACCCTATAGGACACAGTAGACTGCCCCATATAGTTTCCAAGGAGTGGCTGGTAGATTTGAACTGCCAACCTTTTGGTTAGCAGTTGAGCTAACCAGAGCTCTGAGCCTAACATTAGCTGGTGTTTTTTTCTCTGCTAAACCGTGAGTACCCTGAGAACAAGAGATTGTGTCCGTCCGGTTCACAGCCATACCTCCAGTGCTGGGCACAGCCTCTGGCCCCTGGTGGGCCTCACACAGGTCTGTGCGGGGAAAGGAGTGGAAACCCATCTCCCCTGAGGAGGGGCAGAGATGTCAGGGTCAAGGTCAGGGGCCCCAGGCCTCAATTTCTGGGGAAAGAGCTCATTGGAGAGACAATCACCACTCCTTGCGAGGGTTACTATGAGGATTAAAGCAGAGACGATAAGGAGGACCCCGGCTGCCCAAGGAACCATAACCAAAAGCCCAAACCTGCTGCCGTCACGCTGCAGGCCAGAGCACAACTGCCCCATAGAGTTTCCCAGTCTGTGATCTTGACAGAAGTAGACCGCCACATCTTTCTCCCACGGAGCCAGAGCCGCTAGGTGGGTTCAAACCTCTGACCTTTAGGTTAACAGCCAAGCGCTTAACTACTGCCCACCCAGGGCTCCTTTAAGGAACCAAAATGGAATGTAAACAATTTCTCCCTCTCTCCCCCATCCTCCCTCCCTCCTTTTCCTTCTTCTCTGTCTGTAAAGAAAGTCCATGGTGGCTGAGTGCCCCCTGGGTTCCAGGCTGTTTGGGATACCAACACAAGACCAAGAAGCCGAGGTCGCCCAAGGCCCACTTCCCTGGGTCCCGCAGCATGACTTCTTGGGAGGCAGGTACGTGCACACCTGTTGAAGGCAGGTGTATACCTGTTGGGGCTGGGAGGGCAACACTGGCCCCTCCCCCCTCCCCTGAGCTCTGGCAATGCTGGGCTGTCCCCAGAGAGGGGCGGGGCTGGTTTCTAAGGCCTCAGGTGGCCAAGGATCCGGAAGCAGGAAGCAGTCTGTGCTTTCAGGACCCAGGACCTGCCTGGCTGGGAAAGCCCCAAGGCTGCTCAGTGGCAGGTGGAAGCCTGAGGGTGAGGCTGCAGGGAGGGTGGGGGCTGGGGAGGGGGCTGCCCAGACCTGGGTCAGGGTACGGGCCAGGAGAGGAGGTGGGCCTGAGCCAGGTGCAGGGGTGAGATCTGGGGCAGGTGCTGGGGCTGCGGGGCTGGGCCAGAGGGGTTTGGGCCGGCATGGGAATCTAGGACAGAAGTAAGGGCAGGAGTGGAAACAGGATACGTGTCTGGGGGCAGGGGCAAGGTGTATTGGGGGGCAGGGGCAGGGGCAAGGTGTGTTGGGGGGCTGGGACAGGGACTGGGCCAGGTCTGGGCTAGGGCTGGGCAGTGTCGGCCGGGGTTTGGCTCAGCCCTCCTGGGCCACCACTGTGTGGCCAGCCTCCAGAGGAGCCCAGGGTTCTGAGGTGGCCCTGCTGGGGGGCCGGGCAGGTGGCACCCAGGACACTGCGCTGAGATGGCTCCGTCGGCTGAGGACCTGGGGCGGGAGCTGGAGGCCACCGCCCAGGACGTGTTGGGGAAACTGAAGAGCCGCCAGCTGTTCCAGTCCGGTTGGGACACGGCCGCCTTTGTTGTCTTCATCACCTTCATCTGTGAGTGTGGCCATGGGCTCCAGCCCCCTAGTAGTCTCTGTCCCGGCCCCAGAGGGCTAAGGGACAGGTCTGGACACCCGTTCCCGTCCCCAGGCACCGTGCTCTTTCTGCTGCTGCTTGTCATCATTCACTGCTGCTGCTGCTGTGACTCTCCGAGGTCCCAGAAGGTGAGCGCTGCAAAGGTATGTCTACTGGCCTCCCCAGTGCCCAGGCATCCAGGACTGCACTGGGGGGGACGAGGGTGGCTGCAGGGCGGGCGGGTGCTGGCTCTCCCACGGCGGGAGCACCACCAGGCTCCTCTGTCTCCTGTAGCGGAGCCCCAAGGGGGTGGACAACTTGGCCCTGGAGCCTTAACGCCACGAGTCCCCGCCAGCCCCTTCCTGTGTCCTGCACGGCGGCGACAGTCACAGCGCCTGGTGCTGCCTGTAGCCGAGCCCGCGGCAGAGTGTGCGCCAGCCCCCGGGCGGCGGTGTGCACAGTGGAGACTCGCTGCCTTCACGTGGACGCCCGCCTGGCCCCTCAGCATCGTCAGCCGCTGACAGCTGTCACTGTGCCACATCACACAGGACCCTGGTGCTTAAAAACTTTAAGGGACTTGGTGGGGTCACCCAGCTACTGGGAGGGGAAGCTGGTCTCACACTTGGGGGTCTGAAGCCCCCAGCAGAGCTGTCACCACCCCCGGGGCCCTTGGTAATGCTGGGAGCCAGGGAACCCTGTGGAAGTGGGCTGTGTGCCCCACAGGTGCAGGGAGCAGAGACCAGGCCTTGTGCCACTGGATGCTCCTTCCAAGGAGCTCACCCGGGCCTGGCTGTGGTGGGAAGAAGGGAGGCTCCTGACTGCCAGGGATCCCCATCCTGTGCCCCAACTCATACAGACAGACAGAGGGCTCCAAGCAAAGTCTGAAGATCTTTATTTCTCAGAGGTCCCCGTGGGGTTGAAGAATAAACCCAACCAGTGGTGTCAATGCTTGACCAAGCCACCCAACTCCCCTCCTTCCCTCTCACAGCTTGTTAGGGCCCCCACACCCCTGCCCTGTGGCAGGAGGGGGCGTCCGGCTGCCTTCACCATCCTGCTGTTGGCGGGGTGGGGGGTGGAGCTCAGCAGGGAAAGGGAGAAGAGATCCAGCCCAGCTCCACCGAGTCCAAAGATCCCCATCGAGGGCAAGGCTCGGAATGTGGGCCTGCTCTCAGCCGCCTTCTGACCTCCCTCCAAAGCCAGCCTATACCAGCTTCCCTCCCTCCCAGCGGCTGCTCCCAAGGGTGTGATGTGACGGGAAGGGCGGGGCTGAGAGGGAAATAAATAGTCTGCAGTGCCCAGGCTCCTGGCTCCAGTGGCACACAGGGTGTGAGGGGCGGGACGGGACGCCCTGGGTCACGTGCCAGGGAGACAGGCTCTGGGGTGCTCTGCTCAGAAGGGTCTGTAGCTCCAGTAGCTGGAGAACACAGAGATCTGCGAGGAGAAGGGCACTCGGTGGGGGGAGGGCTTCCCACAGAGCTTGGCCCCTGGAGGGAGCAGGCCCTGCTGTGCTGACTTAGGGAAGGTGTCAAGGTCAGCCAAGGGCAGTGTATCAGGGGAGAGAGTGGTGTTGCCTAGCAATGTTGAGGCCCACCTGCCCAGTGAGGGGAAGTGGGTACAATGGGCCTTGAGATTTGGGGGTACTTTGGATGTGTGATAGAGCCCTCAGAACCCACCCCCCCATCATGGACAGAAGATCCTGGGGCCCTGAAGGGGTTAGCAGCCCTGCCACCTGGCCAGCCCCGTCTGTGTGAGAGTGAGGCCCTGCCCCTCAACCTGCAGCCCCCCAGCCCCCACCTTATCCTTGAGCTGCTGGCAGAGCTGCAGAGAGACGGTGAAGAAGACGAGGGCGTCGTTAAGCCAGGGGATCACGCACTCCACCTTGTGCACGTGGCTCACCTCCAGTCGCTGCGAGCCCCACTCACTGTGGGGGCACGGGGGTCCCTGAGGGTGGGCCTGGCCAGCCTGGCTCTCCCCCAAGGTGCTCCAAGACCTCCCTCTGTGCCAGGGCCCCCGCATACTTACAACATGGCCCCGGGGCTGTGGAGCACGGCGCCTCCAGCTGGGCGGAAGTTCTAGGCAGGGGAGCAGGCAGCCCTGTCAGGCCCGCCCAGCAGGTGCAGGGTGTGTGGGCGGGCTGGGCAGGGGTCCCTCACCTTGGTGGAGCTGGGCTGCAGGACATGCAGCTGGTACACGGTCAAGCAGAGCTTGTTGAGATTGATGTAGACATTCACCAGCAGGTCCGCGGGCAGGGCCGGGGCGAACATTCGCTGCGGGAGTCATGGCAGGCAGGTGGGTACAGCAGACCACCACAGCGGGCCCTCTCCCCCAGGGCTGGACAGTGTGCCACTTCACCCCAGTCCTTGAGATGCTCCTCCCATGGGCTGGGGTGGAGCTGGGCTGCCTTACTCCCCCTGGGTGCCCCAGGTATCTTGCCGCACCACCAGGTATGGGCACCCCTGACTCGAGCAGGGTTAACATACTGGGGAGACACAGGACGGAAGCTAAGAACTCCTTCCCAGAAAACCACGCATAGACGTAGAATTCTGACTGACTACAAATCGGAGATTCCAGGACCCCCATGTCCCTCACAGGAAAAATGGCCCTGCTCTGTAGGGTCCCTGCCTCCTGGAGCAGGGGCTGGTCGGGGGCACTGACCGTGAGGCCGCTGGCAGCAATCTCGGGCAGGGTGAGGGTGGCCGGGGTGGTGAGCCGGTTGCGGGCTCTGGTCAGCTGCAGCATCACGGCATCCATCAGCTGGGGGAGAGGGTGGAGCACACCGCTGCGTGGCCAGCAGGCCCTGGTCTGCTGTTCCCACCCGCAGGGAGGTTCTGCTGTGAGCCAGGTCTGGGCTGGACCCCAGAGACAAAGTCACGGCGGTTTCCACTTCCTGCCCTGTGTGGCCCTGGTTCTCAGGTCCTGACCCCCATAGTGGGGACTTGTTAGATGCAGATAGTCAGGCTCCCGCTGGGGTGGGGACCAGGACACACACTGTCCACCACCTGTTTAGGAGATCCTAGTGCAAGGAGCTTGGGTGCTGGTCCAATGGGGAGCTATGTCCCAGGGCCTAAGTGCTTTTGGGATAGGGGTGAAAGCAATGAAGGAGCTCAGAAGAAGGGCCCGTCTGGCTTGGGTGCTAGGGGTCTGGGAGAGCTTCCTAGAGATGATGGGATGGCTGAGTTGAATCCTTAAGGTGGGCAGCACCCTACTTTTATAGATGAAGACACTGAGGCTCAGAAGCCCCTTGTCCAAGGCCACACAGCTAGTGAACGGGGAGCCATCTGGAGCCTCTCCCTCAGCCATGGAGCAAAGCCCTGGCTAACTCCTCAGAGTTGGCCTCCTGGCCGCCATCTGGCTGTTGCCATGGGCACCAGCGTGATCTGGCTCTGGGGAGACACCAGAAGAGTTGGGTGGGGGAATGGGGGCTGCACCTCCTACCCTCTCAGGGTGCCACAGTTCTGGAAGGGACCTTAGTCCATCTGGTTCCAATTTCTTATATGAGAAACCAGAGGCCCAGAGAGGGTAGGTGATCCACCTGAGGACACAAAGCAAGTCAGGGCAGACAGAGCATGAGTCCAGGCATCTGCCCTCAGCCTTCCCATCACACTGTGCCACTTCACTCTAATTACCGTAAAGACTGCTTTTACTGCTACCACCAGCGGCGACCGTGAATCATCACGTTTATCACTCTAGCCTGCCCCTTTCACAGGTGAGGAAACTGAGGCACAGAGTAGCTAAGTAACGGACTTGAGGCCACACAGCTTGCAGTTGATGCCACAGGACTGGAACCTTACTCCAGAGCCGGGGCTGTGAGCTGCTACTGATGTGTGTACCCCGAGAGGTGAAGGCTTAACCTGCAGCAGAGCCTGAGGACATGGCCCAGGCCCAAGAGCCCAGGTCTCCCTAAAAGCCCTGCGGGCAGCGTCCTCCACGGGCTCATTCTGAGGTCACAGCTGGAGTCGGGGAATCTGCTCTCCCGTCTGCTGGTGGCTCACCTTGAGAACCTCGGCTCCCGTCTTGAACTGATAGCTCTTGCCCCGGTTGGCGAGGAGGTAAATGGCTTGGCTCACATGGTTCCTGGCGTCCTGGATCTGAAAACAGCACCCACTGTGTGGTCACCTGGGCAGGGCCTTCACAGGAAGAGGCTATGGTGCTAGCTCTGGTACAGCCCACTGGGATCTCTGGGGTCTCAGCCTGGCCTTGGAGCACCCACGGCTCCCCACCTCGGGGAGGGGAAAGGTGGCTACTGCCTGCCTGGCCCAGTCCACTCAACCTCTCACCCTGCAGCTGCGTGCTCCACACTCTCCGAGGCGAGGCCCTGGCTGGGTGCTGGGGACGTGGCACAGAGAGGGAGGCTCAGTCCCTGCCTATGTGCAGCTTACCTTTTTTTTTTTTTAACTGTACTTCACGTGACGGTTTACAGAGCAAATTCATTCCTCGTTGAACAATTAATACACATATCGTTTTGCGACATTGGTTGCCAACCCCACGACATGTCAACACTCTCCCCTTCTCAACCTTGGGTTCCCCGTTACCAGCTTTCCTGTCCTCCCCTGCCTTCTCGTCCTCGTCCTAGGCTGGTGTGCCCATTTAGTCGCGTCTTGTTTTATGGGCCTGTCTAATCTTTGACTCAAGGATGAACCTCAGGAATGACTTCAGTACTGAGTTAATACAGCGTCCAGGGGCCATACTATCCAGGCACATGGGTTTGGACCTACGAGCTATGAGAAGCCCCCGGAGGGAGGCTCTGGGCAGGGAAATGACTTGTTGAGGGATACCATGAGTGATCACCCCGGCTGCCGTAGGGTAGGAGGCCCCTGTGGTTCCTGGCGGGGCCCCAGGCACTGCCCATGCCGGCTTTGCTGCTAGGAAACACCTTCCCAGGCTTGCTGTGGCCACAAACCCCCACAGCCAGTCCCTCTCCATGGAGGCCCCAGGCCTGCCCCTGCCTGCGCCCGCCGCCTGAGCCGCGGCCGGGAGGAGCCTCGTTACCTGCTGCAGCTTCCACTGTTTGTCCTCCCGGAAGGCAAAGTGCAGCAGCTGGCTGTTCCGGGGCATCTTCAGATTCACATCCTGCCGGACAGCAGCGGGGATCGAGCGCGGGTTGGGGGAGTGGGGAACATCCTTCCACTTTTGGACACCCTGAGCCCTCAGGCTGGGTGCAGAAATGGGCCGTGTGTGGTGGCTCTGGCCTCTGCTGCCCCCGGGGGCAGAAGTCTCCCAAAGCCTTGGCCATTTGGAGAGTGAACAGGAAGGTTGGGAAACAGGAACTCAGGCCCCAGAGGAGCCACAAAGAAATGAAAGGGGAAAAGAGGCCTGAGAAAGGGGAAGGTGGCAGAAAGGGGAAGGCTGGCAGGAGGTGTGTGACTGTGGGCAAACAGGCAGCAGCTGCTCAAGGCCGAGAGACTCAGGTTGGTGAAGAGGGCTCTGCCCCCAGCCTTGGTGCAGGGAACACTGATCTGGTGCCAGCCTAATTCTGACAATACCCATGCTTCCCTGGGCCTGGATGCTGTGCCAGGTGGTGCACAGAGCTGGCCCTTTCCGGCACCCTCTCACCAAATCCATGTACCAATCCGGGAACAGGCACAGGTGTGGCTGTCATTTACAAATGAGGAACCTGAGGCCCAGAGAGGTCAAGGGCCCTCCCCAGAGACACTGAGCAGAGCTGAAATAAGCACGGGGCCCTCATGTCCTTCCCTGCTGGTAGATGGGAAGGGAGCGGGGCTCCGACTCACCGCCTGGCTCAGCGCATCCCCTTGGAGAGTCAGCACGCCCTTCACCTGGTCTGTGCTGTAACACACGGGGGTCAGAGTGGCACACGCAGCCTGCCCCTCCCTCCAGGGGTCCTGGTCGTCACACGATAGGCCACGGGCCACGCCTGTTCCACCCCATACCTTGTGCCCATCAGAGCTGACACCAGCCTGCAGACAGGGGCTGTGGCCATGTCTCCTGCTCCCCGAGGGTGCTCCAGGAGTCCCCAGTCCCTGTTCCCTGGTTTCCACCCAGCCCAAGCTCACCCACAACTGCTCAGGATGAAGTTCTCCTGCTTGGCTGCCCCCTCGGTGCCCGGCAGAGTGAAGCGGAGAGAGGCCTCCTGTAGCAGAGGGAAGCAGGGTAGGAGGAAAGTTCACATACAAGCTGGGGCAGCTTCCAGCTCTGTCCGAGCTCCAGAACCTTTCCCTAAGCAGGTCTGCCTGCGAGAACAAGACTGGGGCTGGTCAGCAATTGCCAAGCCTTCAGAACACCTTGTGGTAGCTCTGGCCCCTTCCCAAGGCCTGAGTTTCAGGTCCCACGGCCCACCTGCTCATTCTGTATTCACTGACGGCCTGCTGTGTGCCAAACATGGGGAACACGGGACCAAGAGAGCTCAGCTGAGGTGCTGGGAAGGAGAGGAGCAGAACCAGGCAATAACAACAGGGTAACTGTGACCAGCAATTGCGGGCCTTACCAAGCTCTGGGCTACACGTTTTTGTGTGTCGACTGGCTTATTTAGCCTCACCACAGCCTCCTGAGACAGGCACTGATAGCACCTCTTTGCAAATGAGATGCCTGAAAGACTGAGTAACTTGACTGAGGTCACAGTGCTCTAAGGAGATGGAGAGCTCTTCAGATCTCAGATCAAATGTCACTTCTTCAAAAGAGCTATCCCCGACCCCGGGGGCTATGTCAGGTCCGTGCTGGTCTCTCTCGGGTGCCAGCAGTTTTCCTTCGCAGGACTCGGCAAACCCTGCCCTCACCTACTTGCTTGTGTGTGTTCAGACGCCGTCGAGTAGATTTTGACCCACAATAACCCCTTGTGACAGAGCAGAACTGCCCCCGTGAGGTTTTCTAGGCTGTAATCTTTACCAGAACAGATTGCCAGGTCTTTCCCCTGCGGAGCCACTGGGTGGGTTTGAACCACCAACCTTTCGGTTAGCAGCCTAGCACTTAACCGTTGCGCCACCAGGATTCCTTTCTTGCTTGTGTAATTATTTGCTTGTGGCCCTCACACTGCAAGCTCACTCCGGTTAGAAACCCTGTCTGAATACCGACACAGGCGCTCAATAGACAGGATGGCTGGTGGAAGAAGTGGAGTTAGAGAAGGAGTGGTCGGGAGCGGCGTGTGCAAGGGCCCGGGGGCAGGGTGAGGGCAGGCAAGGCGCCGGGGTCTACAGACCCGGAGGCGTTACCTTGAGGATGTCCTGGAGCTGCCTGAGCACGGCATGCACCTCGTCGTGCAGCAGCCAGCGGAACTCCTCCTCCTGGCGGAAGAGGACGCGGTCAGCGGCCGGCGGCGCAGTGGACGGAGGGGAACCCCAGCCTGGTCCCCCGCGTCCCGGCCGCGCCTCACCAGCACCG